CATGTAATTTGTAATTGTATTTAAGTACTTTTTTTCTCAAAGTAATTTGGAATTGTAATTGCAGCAAAATCAATCTGTGGAGGAATTGTACTTTGTAATTATATTAATTTATATTATTTAAATTGTCTAAATACAATTATTTGTCATAAGTACAATTACTTTTCCAATTACAATTACTTTTTCCAATTACAATTACATTTATAAGTACAATTACATTTTTTAATTACAATTACTTGTAAATGCGTGTTTATGAGATGCACGTGATATAAAAATAAAAAAAATCCTGTTCGAACCGGTCACTAGAGCTCGGACTCGCATCCATATCGTTTGTTTGAATACATTTGAGGAAAGCGTTGTGCCGTGAAGCAAAATAATAACAGTAAGGGGTAAGTAGATGCAGATATCCTTATTTATAAAACGTATTTTGTATTTATATAATTATAAACATAATCTATGTTGCATAAACATTATAAACTAAGTAAATATAGTATGAAGTGGTGCAAATAGCAGTTTTTATGGGGTAAATAGTAAAAACTACTCATTTAGTTATTATCCTAGTTTTCTACATTGAAATGGGGGCGTACAAAAAACAAATTAAAAAAGGAAAAGTAAACTATTGCATTCAACTGAACGAATATATTTCATCTGTTCTAAGTAGTGAAAACACTGCAAAAAATAAAATCCGCCAATCACAGTTCATATTTTGAATACCAAACTACTATTATTTTTAAACTTTTAAATAAGTGACAATTATTCTGTCAAACTAATTGTCAGTATATTTTTTAGTTATTGAGATTAAATATACACTAATGAGTTATTTTTGTTTAGAATCGATATATAATAAAAGAATTATTTTTATTTGGACCACAATTTGAAAAAAAATTAAATTTTAATCAAACTATATGTGAAATTAGTTTAATTACGAGTACTAAAACCAAAATCATAAAGGTGGCGGTGGAGCTGAGAACCAGGGGCGCCTTGTGACCAAAATTTTGAGGGTTCACAGTAGCAGATCCTGGTACAGATATAGGTAAAAAACTGTCAGTCTTTTAGAAAGGTATATTATAAACTTTCTAAAACACTGAAAGTGTTTTCATACATCTGTACTGATACCTAAATTCTGTCACTGTGAACCCCCCTCCCCACGAGCCACCACTGCTGAGAACAAAGCATCTACCTTCCATGCGAATAGACCGGGTTCAAATCTGGACAAGGTGCTAATTTTCTTCTGTTTATTTTATGAATTAGTAAAAAAAAATTATTTTAAAATTAGTTATTTTGTTTTAATAACCTAAAATATTATAGATTTTCGTTAGTGGGTCGTAGAAAAAATATACTGTACATATCCAATCTTGTTGCACAAACTACTATTTCAGTTTCAGTATATTTTGTTAATAACAATAACACATTATACAGGATAATTTACCACGCCTCTGACGTTTATAGCGAATCGATAAAGTTTTAAAATGGCTCTTATTTTTTAAGTATACAGGGTGTAACTAAATAAGTGTAAAACATTTAAGGGGTGATTCCTCATCGAAAAAAAGATAGGATCTTTCATATAAAGAAACTTCATTGGAGCATCCCTTGTTAACTTTTTAAAATCCAAATCGAGTATTTTCGAATACGTGTCCAATCATACAGGAAATACCAAGAGAACTTTTCAGGACATAATCAAAATTCACGACACACTATTCGTTGAACAAAATTATAATTTAACTTTGCCTGATTGGACCAAAAAAGTTTTTCCGCATAAAACTTTACCTCTATTAGTGATGAGAAGCGCATTTGATTCCAAAACTGTAGAACTAGGTAGGTATGTATAATACACCTATCCCGTTATTCGACTGTTTCATATTACTCATGCTAAAAGAGCGGATCTTTTGAATCAAGTAATTTTTTTAAACAACTTATTTTCTGCCTTTTTTTTATCCTTACCCTAACTACGACTGTTAAGTTTCCTGCAACGATTACTCTCCATAATAAAAGCCAAATTATATTGGTGTAGTTGACAACGTCGCCGGTATTAGCTAATACTCGCCGAATACAATTACTTTAATAAATTAGAACGTCGAGGAATCGAAAAGGATATGCTCGATGGTATCAACTTCTTGTTCGCACACCCTGTAGAGTGCGGATTCTGACTAATCCATATTATGGTAATGACCAGTCAAAATGCCTGTGATCAGGCGCAGATTCTGTCTAATCATAGTCAAATATCTGTTTTCTGTACACAGAGCTACCTATGCTCACCTTCTCCAAGAGGCTCTGCGAGAAGTGGAGACTGGAACACCAAATAATAACAATGCTTTAGAAAAGTATTCGAACACTATCCAAAACACAAAAAACACCTATAAGAAATCCTTACCCCTGAGGGTGGTTCAACTCGATTAGACGACTACCGCATGGTGGTGTCACGACTTGGGCCGTTTCAGGAAGATGGCTTTAATAAGGTAAAAATCACAAATCTCACCTCAGACAATACAAAAAGTCGTCAGACAAAAACAGAGAGATTCTGGCGAAGAAATAAAAGATTTCATGCAGGCATCAAGGATTCAAAAGGCACCTTCAAGAAATCCATAGTATGATGCTAATCAAAGTAAAAAACGGCAAACCTCTAAGAAAGCATCAAACTTCTGCTGTCAACACACTTCCCTGATTTAATCATAACAGACGTAGCCGACTAGGCAGAGAGGAAGAATACAACCCATCTGTCTACAATTGGCAAACCCCAAACACATTGAAGATGAAGACAAAATTAGACGGGCAATATCGTCAGGACCTGACGGTATCTATCTAGCCTTACTTCAGTGGGATCTAAAAGAACTCACACCGCACCTTGTAGGTTTATTCAGATCCTGGTTGACTCTGAGGTATAGCCTCAAAAAATGGAGAAGCATATAAGTAGTCTTTATACCCAAAACTGGAAGGATGGATTACACTGTCCCAAAAATACACATCAATTAACCTGACATATTTTTCCATGAAGGCATTGAAAAGGTTATGCAAGAGGTACATAAGGGATGTGGTGAATACAACACCTCTACACTCAAATTAATATGCATATACCCCAGGCAGAACTACTGATTCAACCCTTCAATTAATTGCTGGACAATAGAGAGTCCGCTTTGGGTGTTTTCATAGACACAAAAGGTGCTTTTGACAAGACCACCTTCCCAAGATCCTACAGTCACCAACCAACAGAAATATTCCATAGATGGTTAGTAATAACATGCTTTCAAAATGAGCAGTAAACATAAGTGTGAAAGATGTGAATATAAGAGGCTTGATTGCGAGGGGATCAGCCGTCTCAATAATGGGAGTCTCTGTGTAGACAACATCGTATGCAGATGACCTGGTCATTCTGCAAACAGGGAATTCTAAAAGCATAATCTGCGAAAAAGTGCAAGTAGTTCTTAAAATTATAGAACAGCGGCGCAAGAACCTTTTACTGTCTATCAATCCCAAGAAGAGAGAAATGGTCCTTTTTACAAGAAAAAATAAGAAAAAGGAACTAAAACCTCCAGAGCTCCTAAGCACAAAACTAAACTTTATAACAGGGGTGAAGTACTTACTTCTCATCTTTAACAGCGCATGAGTAATAAAGACCATCAAGAGATTATAGGTCTATTATTTTTCATAAATTTACAATCAAATACTGTATTTGATAAAAAAAGCTATATGCGTAAGAATAACTTTGAAACACTGGATAGATCTTATAAATGATTGAATGCTAGACAGAAAAGTGGTAAAATCGAATAAGAAGAAGAAGAAGAAGAAGATGAAGAAGAAAGAAAAAGAAGAAGAGTAAGAAGAAGAAGAAGAAGAAGAAGAAGAAGAAGAAGAAGAAGAAGAAGAAGAAGAAGAAGAAGAAGAAGAAGAAGAAGAAGAAGAAGAAGAAGAAGAAGAAGAAGTAGAAGAAGAAGAAGAAGAAGAAGAAGAAGAAGAAGAAGAAGAAGAAGAAGAAGAAGAAGAAGAAGAGAAGAAAAAAACTGATAGGTGCAGCAGAAGAAGATTCAATACATAATGCCACATGATCCACAAAAAATGTTTCTGAGTTAGGTTATGGCCAACAAAGATGGAAATATGAATGAATGCGTGAATTTTTTCCAAGGCCTACATTAAAAACATTTATTTATTACCCGCAAGAGAAACGTCCGACATTATATTGATATGGCAAGTTTGACGTCACAAAAATGTATCAAAATTTGTCAAAATTGTGCGATGCTGGGGTGATGAAGTTTTTGAAAATAAAAATTTAAGTAAAAAATCAGGATGTCGGTTTTTTTCTATGGATTAGGAAAGATTATCAAGTTTTCTTTTAATGGAAAGTGAAATATTAACTATTTTGTAATAAAATTGGAGAGTTAAATAAAAGAAATAAATAAAAAGGTAAAAGAAATTTGTACGACAAAGATTGGAAGATAGGGAGAGTGAGAGGACCCGGAGCAGAATAATTCTAGGAAAGAGTGAGCAGAAGAGAGCAGGGAAGTAGAGAATAAGCATAGGCGTCGTTACACAATTCTATAGGGAGGGGCAACATTTTGAAAAAAAATTTAGAAAGTTTATTTGTTGAAAAACAAAGAAAAATGAAAAATAAAAGAGCAATAGAAATAATAAATAAAATAACCCAATAAGAAAGACAAAAACTAAAATAAAAAAAAAACAAGAAACTTAAAACGTATTTTTAAAAAACAAACAGGTTAATATTGAATTATTTTCTCAAAATTCACAGAAACGTTTGTTTCTTAGATAGGTTAACTAAAAAATGTACACATTAAAAAAGCACATTTAATCATGAAGTAGAAAATTTGTGGTGTAGGCCAAATGCTATCGCCACTTTTCTCTGTTCCACGTCAATGAATTTGTTGTTTAAAAGACTAATTTTTTGTTGATTTTGTCAAAAGTAGCAACAGTTATAGAATCAAAAGGTCAAAAGATCAATAGTTATTGTCTTCCATTGTTACCGAATTTATTTTACATATTCGTTTTTTCATTCAGTCAAAAACCAATAATTCTATAGGTACTTATTTGATTTTAGCTGATTATTTGAAATGTCGATAACATGGACCATTGTTTTGTTACTAATTACTATTTATAGTAACACAGTGTCGAGTAAAGAAAGTGAATTGTTGTCAGTGACAGTGTTATTCCGACATGGTTTTAGAACTCCTCGTTTTCTATACAAAAATGATCCTTATAAACAAGAGGCTTCAAAAATATGGCCGGAAGGTTTTGGAGAACTCACAAATATCGGTAAAAGAGAAGCGTTTGCTTTGGGACAATGGTACCGTGAAAAATACAGAAGTTTTATACCAGAAAAATACAACAGTAATTTCCTAAGAGTGCTGTCTTCAGACAAAGATAGATGCTTGATGTCAGCAGCTTGTAGCTTAGCAGGATTGTATCCGCCTAAAAAAGAACAAATCTGGAACGAAAATCTACAATGGCAACCGATCCCAATCCATACCAGACCAGTATCAATAGACGGTATGGTAGCTGCAGATGACAGACATTGCAAAAAATATGACAGGCTCTACCAAGAATTGATGAAATCGGAAAATAGCATAAACTTTTTTAAATCCAAATCGAGTATTTTCGAATACGTTTCCAATCATACAGGAGAGTCCAAGAGAACTTTTCTGGACATAACCAATTTTCACGACACACTATTCATTGAACAAAATTATAATTTAACTTTGCCTAATTGGACCAAAAAAGTTTTCCCGCATAAAACTTTACCTTTATTAACGATGAGATACGCCTTTGATTCCAAAACTGTAGAACTAGGTAGGTATGTATAATACACCTTTCCCGTTATTCAACCATTTCACATTACTCATGTGCGAAAAAAGAGCGGAGCTTTTGAATTTTGTTAACTATTTGGTAATAGAATTGGAGAGTTAAATAAAAGAAACAAACAAAAAAATTTAAAAAAAAATGTGTACCTATTACAAAGATTGGAAGACAGGGAGAGTGAGAGGAACCTGAGCAGAATTGTAGGAAAAAGTGAGAAGAGGAGAGCAGGCAGGTAGAGGGTGAATAGAGGTGAGGAGATCAGGAGTGAGCAAAGGTGAGCAGGAAAGTAGAGGGCGAGTAGAGGAGAGAATACCAGGAGTAAGCAGAGGAACAGAGACAAGAGACGAACTTGGAAATATATATATATATTTTTTTTTATCGTTGAAATTTGTTTATTTATTGTTTGTAGATTTTTAGAAAACGAATAACCCTTTTTAAGAGCCTTGAGAGTTTTGTAAAAACAATTTGGAAATTATTGAACTGGCTATTTCCATATCAATATATTCTAAGTCCGACGCACATCAGAATATAGGGCACCGCCATTTGTAACTAGTAGCTACGAGAAAATTTCTCAATATTACGATATTTTATTCGTGTTTTTTTTTTGTAATTTAAGCATTAAGGAGAATAACAAATGAACTATGAGGATTAGAAAAAATGTGCTTTGAAAATAACTGCTGCATTTTCGGTTTTAAATAAAATTAAAACAGGAATTATTAATGAACATCATTATTTATATGAAGATTGGTGTAGAAATAATTAAAAAAATGGACTACAACTAAGATTACACAACTAGTAAAGGTAATCAAACTCTCTCAGACAAACACAGAATGAGAAATAGTAATTATTGTAGCTACGTTTTTCATAAAATTACCTTTTGAATATATCACATTTTCTTCTCATTTTGGTGCTTGCTTCACTCTCTGGTAAACATGTTGACATATGAGCTAGTGGACACAAGGACATAAAGTAGATGGAATGAAAATATTTCTATTTATAGTCAGACTTGGAATATTTGAAGATTTTAAAGTACATATAGCATTCGTAGGAAAACTTTCGTTTTCAAAATATTTTGAATAGCTGTGTCAAGTATTTCACAGGAAATTTTTAGTGCTATAATTGCAGTTAGAAGGCAAAAGTAATTACAAACCTTCATTTTTGTAACAAGAGTATCTAATACTTATTGAAAATAGTAGACATCAGAAAACTGAAAGGTTTTATATACTTAAATTATTATTATTTTACCATGTTCTTCAAAATTGCTTAAGTACATGTTCAGAAAGATGTTTCTGCCTTTGATTATTATCTGTATCTGGAATGCAATTTTGTGAGTGACTAATTGGAAAACAGCTATTTAGTAATTTATTTTATGTTTTCTTTCAAAATGAAAATAAAGAAAACAAGTATAAAGTACATTTGGAAATATTAAAATATTACAACTATTTTTTTGGGAATAAATTGTGAATATATGTTTAACATTAATCTTTTTCATTAGACAACTTTTTCATACACTTTTTCGTAAATACTGTTGCCTAATTACCAATTCTGTGCACGTTTTTTAATAATTTTTTATTTAATATAGTTTTCTTTAGCTAAAGTAATAAAAATATATAATAATAATAAATGAATCTTTTCATTTGTTTTATAAATCAATATACTTTTATTAAAACCAAAAAATACATGGTTTAATTACGAATTCTATTAAAACTGATACTGTCAATACACGTAAAATCGCCCTTAAGTACATATTTTAAATGGCGCTGCCATCACGCACTGAGCGAATAACGATTATTATCCATTTGTAAATACTATTTGTACTAATTATTACTACTACCTGTGAAAACTCTCTAATAAACTCTTTAAGTCTTTATAATCTTCCATTAAACTCATTTTAATATTACATAACACATAATTTCGTAAAATAAAAACCTTGAAAAACATATAAGAAAACTGCTTCAAGCAAAGCGAATAAGGAATAATAGTTATTAGAGACGTAGGTATTGCAAGTTCACTTAAGGTCAGTCACTATTAGCGCCGCTCTTATTTTGACATCTGACTCATCTGAGCATGCGCACATCGTTTATGTTTTAAAACTGACTTTAATAAAGATAATGCAGAAAATACTAGTTACTTTATATCTTTCGGGTGCACTCGTCAACATTCGTATCAGTTCGAAGTTTTCTAATATATATTTAATATTGTCATCAACTAAATCGCCTAAAATGACCATTTAAAATGTCTCGTCCATATTATGTATTATAGACAACAACAAAGATGAACTATAATTTAAAGTATTTAAAATGAGGTTAGAAATTAAGACAAGGATTCTAATTGTCAAAACTTCAGGTTTGCAATAAGTTTGATGTTAGCATGGAGTTAGTGCCGGCCAATCAAATACTACAATTAACTATATTGATTCATAACAAATATCGAGCTTAAACTGACAAATGTGAAATCATAGGGCGTCGCTTTTCTATCTTCTTTCATTCCAAGCGTAGTACATGTGCGCAAAGAACCACTTTTGGTATATCTGTATAAGTATGTGGATACAATGATTTTTCTCCTGTATTCTTTATTTTTTAGTTATGATGAACAATTTTTATTATTTTCTTTTCTTCAGGCAGACTAAAATCTGGACTGTTACTCGATTACATAACAACATTCTTTGAAGATGTCTTACAAAAGCCTGCCACATCCCAGAAATTCCTGATGATATCCACTCACGATAGTACTATAGCCAGGTTTTTGAATATTTTGGGAGCATACGACTACACGTGGCCTGAATACGCTTCGACTCTGGTTTTCGAATTGAGACGAAAAGGAAATAATGATTTTCTAAAGATATATTTCAAAGATAGTAAGTGTGGAGTTTCTGTAGTCATTTAAAATAATGTAAGGTTTATGTATTTAAAAAGTTTATTTATTTAATTTATATTCTCTGAGACAGTCATTTATTTATTACTTAACCTAACACACTAGTTTATATTTATTACTGTTCTATACTAATTTATATTGACAATATTTATCTTAACAATATATTTAACTAAAAACTGGCTTATAAAGACAAAGTTGGGCTATCTGTATAAAAATGTGGCGCTTAAGACTTGTTTTCAAGATTCTAGATATAATAATATAATAATAAGTTTATTTCGAAAACCATGAATACAAAGTATATAATTATTTTACAATTTAGTAGAAATAAACAAGAAAGGGAACATTTTGTAATGCCTAACTACTATGATTTTCATAATAAAAGTAACTTTGCGAGCTTAGGAAAATCCTGTCTGCTGCTGCCGTTACTTATTAAGGCTATTTTGTTTTAAGAGTATAAATGTATAATTAGCGGTATACTGTAATACATCTTATTATATTTATATAATAAAACGAAAAAAAGAAAAAAAATTAAAATAAAAAAAAAAATACATAGGTATCAGATTTTGAAAATAAATTTAGTTGCAAACCCAGGTAAAATTGTCGAAAATGTTTTTTTTTTTGCTTCTTTTTTTTTATTTTTATCTATATATATTTTTTTATTATAAATCTTTATAATTTATTATATAAATCAGGAAAAAATACATATATCAAATTTTGTAAAAACAAATAATTATTAGCTACAGACCCTGATAGAATAACAAACTTTTGCTTATTTTTTTTTTTTTTTTATTTATTTATTTTTTTATTTTTATTTCTTTTTTTTTTTTTTTTTTAATTTTATTTTTTTTTTTTTTAAATTATTTATTTGAAGCAGTTACAATATATTGGGGGAGTTAATAATTAACCACGTGGTTAGCAGTTTTTTGAAATTAGTTTGACTTCTTTTTTCTTTTAACTCTTTGGGAATAGTGTTAAATAATTTTTGGCCAACTTGTCTATAACAATGATCGCCAATTTTTTTATACACTCTGGATATTTTTATACATGCTTGCGTTACGTGTCGTGTTTCATATATGTGTTCAACAGATGTATTAATTAACTTATACTTAATTAAGTGTAAAAGTGAACTTTTATAAAATAATTTTCTAATTGTTAAAATGTTGTTTTCAATAAATAAGTTGTGCGTTCTGTAACGTATATTTAATTTAAACATAATTTTTAGAATTCTCTTCTGTGCAACTTCTAATTTTTGCAATGTACTATTATATACTCCGCCCCATCCTATAATGCCATAAGATAATATAGATTCCACTAATGCGTAATACATTTTTCTGAGTATATGAAAATCAACAATTTTTGCCATTTGTCTGAACATAAACATTAAAGACCGTAACTTTTTTGTTAGGTTATCAATTTGAAAATCCCATTTTAAATTTGAATCTATAATTATGCCCAGATATTTGACTTTGTTACATTTTTGTATTTCCCACGTTTCATTTCGGTGCTGAATTTCAATACAAATTTTGTTTTCTGTTGGTAATCCTGACTTATAGTTTGAAAAAGGTAAAAATGTGGTTTTTTCCGGATTTATGGTTAATAAATTATTGTCGAACCAATGTGTTAGAGTTTGTAAATTAGTTTGAATACTTTTAAATACTTCAACCCAAGTTTCTTCTTCTACGAATAATACTGTATCATCCGCAAAAGATATTACGCTGGCTTTATAATTTAAATCAAATAGACTATTTATGTAGCAAATAAAAAGAATAGGACCGATCACAGTACCTTGAGGGATTCCATACGTAACTGTTTTTTCATTACTAATTGTATTATTAATTTGTACCCTTTGTTTTCTATCTTCTAAATAACTTGCCAATAAGGATAGTGATGGACCTCGGATGCCAACATTTTCGAGTCTTGACAAAAGCTTCTCATGACTTACAGTATCAAATGCTTTTGCCAAGTCGATAAAAACCTCGGCGCAAGGTTTGGTTTTATCTAGGCAGTTGTATATTTTATTTATCAAACACGAAATTGCGTCATTAGTGGATTTTCCACTTTGAAATCCAAATTGCATGTTTGAAATAATTTTATGTTTTACAAAAAACTCAACTAAACGTATTTTAAGTATTTTTTCAAAAATTTTGCATATGTTAGAAATTAGGCTAATTGGCCTATAATTTTCAGGTGATTTCGGGTTACCTTTTTTATAAATTGGCTTAACTATGGTAATTTTAAAATGTTTAGGACATTCTCCTTTTATAAATATTAAATTGATCAAATGAACCATTGGTTTTGCAATTTCTTCAGAAATTTCTTGAAGTACTTTAATTGTGATTTTATCAAGTCCAGGTGATGAGTTTGTTTTTAATGATTTAATGATGTCTTTAATTTCGTTTTCGTTTGTAGGTTTTAAAAATATTGAGTCTTTGTTAGTCCAACCAGTTTTATTATTAGTTATCTCTATCTTATCCGTAATATTTTTTGCTAATTTTTCCCCTACTGATGAGAAATGCTTATTAAGTGACTCTGCTACACTTTTTGGGTCGCTGTGAATGATATTATCAAATTCGATTTCTTTTGGTTCTTGATTATTTTTTGTTTTTGTTTTATTATTATATTCATTAATAGTTTCCCATAGTTTTTTGCTATCTTCTGAAAACTGTTAGACTTTATTTTTATAGTATTGATCTTTTAATAATTTCGTTAGATTTGTTACCCTATTCCTATGATTTTTATATTCTCTAAAATCTTCCTCTAATTGGGAGTTTCTGTATATTTTATAAAGTTTATCTCTTTGTTTTATAGATTTATAGATACCTCCATCATTTTCTAAACTAAGTGCATTCGCCAAAAATAGTAATTTCGAGATGCTCCGTTGGGAGCTCCAGTGCATTTCAGAATTATGTCTATCGCGTTCTATAGGCGGGGGAGTTTCGGAGCATGACTTAAGTCCAGCCTTAAGTTGAGCCTTACAATATAATAGCTGTGTGTTTTCTAAAATTTGAAATTGGATTCAAATTAAAAATATAAAAACGCAATAACTAGAGTATAACAATGTTTTTTTATATACCTCTTTTTTTCCAGGCAAAAAAATAAGAGATATCAAGCTACCTCGATGTTCATTAGATTGTAATTTTGATGACTTCAAGAACATCACTAAAAATTTCAGGATAAATGACGAGGAATGGGTAAAAGAATGTTCTAGCGATTGAAAAAATTATATTTGTGTAAATTTGTTAATAAAAAAAATTAAAAACCTAAAATCTTTCATTTTAGTCATCCATAATGAAACTATAAAATTAAGATTCATATTTAGATATTTGGAAATTTTCGATAGAGACTTTAATTAAACAGATATACAGGGTATTAGATACTTTAAAAGATTTCGCAGAATCAGAAATTTTATCATTTAAATGTAGTACCTATCGCGTATTGTACAGAGTCTTCAACAGTAACCGTATCCCATGTGACCATATTCAAAATATTCATGTTACAAATTAGCTAACAGTAAAATTAACAACTTCAACAGTAACCAAACGATGATGTCACTGACGAATTTGACAAAACTGACAGGTATTCTACCTAACATTTTGACATATAAAGCTCCAAATCTCGTTCTATTACTAACATTAGTGGCATGTGGTGAGAGAGATTAGTTAAAGGTTAATAAAAGAACTTTTGCGGATGAGTAATTTGGATATAGCATCTTTATATTATGTAGAGCTTTATACCATTCTATGTGACATTGAAGCCGTTATAAATCAAAAATCGCTAACATACGTAACATATATATAGTTTAATATAATACATTTAAACATACGTAGTATTAGTAAAAATTTTGATAATCTATGCATATTTTTAAATAGTTTTAAAATGGAGTTTGATATAATTGTTTTAACAGAAACCTTTCAGCTCTTTGATTCTTTAAATGTGGTTTCACTGAGTGGGTATGATATTTTATATAATGGTGGTATGTTAAATAAAAACGATGGTATAATTATTTATATTAAATGTTCACTAAATTATAAATTTGAAACAACATTTATCGCTGAATATAAAGCAGCCGAAGTAAATATTTCGCTAAAAAACTGTAACCTTTTTTTAACTGCAATCTATAGGTCACCAAATTCACTTTCAACCCTGGATCAGTTCAACTTGGAATTATTAGGCTATCTAGAAAAAAACAAGAAACATCAAACACATGTTATAGTAGGTGATTTAAATATCGATTTGCTGAGTAACGAGGAACGAGTTGAAGATTATAAAACCTATTTAAACACATATAGTTTCGAATCCTATATAAATAAAATTACAAGACCGGCTAGTAAAACATGTTTAGATCATTTCTTTATTAAATCAAATAAAACAATAAAAGAACAGGAAAGCTTTATCTCTGTAAACGATATAACAGACCATTTTCCAATAGGATTAGCTATAAATATAGACCAAGAAGCTAAAAAACCCATACATTAGACCAGAAAAGTTATTTAAATTATCCTAACTTAAAAACAGATTTAAACAATGAAAAATGGGAACATATGTACAAACAAAACAATATAAAACTGGTAAAAATAAAAAATAATAAACAAAAAATAAGAAAACCATGGATGACTCAGGGTTTAGCCAATTCTATTAAAGAAAGAAATAAACTATACTTATTAATTTTAAAAAATCCTGAAAATAATGAAATTAAAGAAAGATATAATAGGTATAAGAATAAAATCAGATCCTTAATAAATATAAATAAAAAAAGTTTCATGAATAATTTAATAGACAAAAATAAAAACTCATCTTCAGCCTTGTGGGACTGTGTCAACAAAATCTGCGGCAAGAAAAAACCTAACACAAAAATTGAAAAAATTATAAAAAACGGACAAGAATTAACGATGAAAATGATATTGCAAATAACTTCAATAGCTACTATATCGAATTGGGACAGAACCTTGCAAACAACATATTACCTCCAGATAACTTTGAGGAACAGTTAGACATACTTGAAAACACTATGTATTTACACCATGTAACTGAAATAGAAATAAAGCATGTTATAAATACATTAAAATCTAAAAAAGCGCCCGGATGGGACAAAATAAGAGCTGAAACAATTAAGGCAATTAAAAATGAAATTTTACAACCCCTAACCTATCTAATAAATAAAAGCTTTAATGACGAATGCTTTCCAGAATGCCTAAAAATTGGAATTACCAAACCGCTCTATAAAACAGGTGACAAAACGTTAACTCAAAATTATCGACCTATCATTGTTGTCAATTTTTTCGAAAATATATGAAAAAATCCTTAAATTGAAAATAACAAAATTTTTAAACAAATTCCAAGTCGTAAATGATAATCAGTATGGGTTTAGAGAAAAAAGGTCGACGGAAGATGCAATACATGCTCTAATCTCCAAACTATACCATACTTTAGATACAAAAACACCTGCAATTTGCATTTTTGTTGACCTCTCAAAAGCGTTTGATACGGTATGTCACGCGTTTACTAGAAAAAATTAAACGTTATGGATTGCGTGGAAAAATATATAATATTTTAGAAAGTTATTTAAAAAATAGAACGCCGTACGTGAACATCAATGGAGTATTCAGTGATCCAAAAACAATTACCTACGGCGTTCCGCAAGGGACTGTACTGGGACCTCTTCTATTAACTCTATATATAAATAGCTTGATGACATTACATACAAATGGACAAATATTCAGTTTCGCCGATGAAACTGTCATAACTTATAGCTCAAAGAACTGGCACACGCTAAAAACAGAAATTCAAGATGATTTTAAAGCAGTTAAAAAATGGTTTCAACTCAATAAACTAACATTAAATACCGAAAAAACGAAATATTTACCATTTACCTCTTATGTAAATAATTTGCCGAGTTTTGGTCCAATGCATATAGATGACAAAACTCAAATACCTGAAGCATCGTCAATTAAGTACCTAGGTATCACTTTAGATAGGCATTTGAAATGGGATCTACAAATTAAAAATATTACTCATAAACTTAGAGGTTTGTTACATAAATTTAAGTACTTACGCGACTTTTTAAATGAAGATCAGCTGAAAACTTTATATTTGTCTCTGGTACAATCGCATCTTACTTATGGTATTATTGGGTGGGGTGGTGTGGCAGACTGCCATTTAAAGCAGTTAAAAAATATACAAAAATGGCTAATCAAGCTTATATTTAAAAAACCTGTAACTTATCCGAGTGACGCATTATTCAGTGAAAGTACATTTTTTGATATGAGACAGCTATACTGCCAAAACATTCTTTTAAACACTTTTAAAAGAAAAATTCAAGTAACTTCTCCTCAACATAATTACCCTACTAGAGGTAAATGCACTTACCTTCCAATAGCTTCAAAGACTGTTGGTCAACGCTGTACCAATTATTTTGCTCCAAGATTATCCAATATGTTACCAGATTACATTAAGGATATTAATAAAGTTTCCTGTTACAAATATGCTATAAAAAATTGGATAGCAAGTAATAACAGATATATTTTTAATAGCCTAATTGATTTAAGATATCTAAAATAATTTATAATTAATAAATTTTCCACTTCAACAATTAAAAAAAAAAATAATACTTAACTATATTTCATTATGAATTAAATATCGAATATGTCTATATTTTATCTCCCTGTTACTATTTGTTCTACTGTTTGCTTATTATGTTCTATTATTTGTTTTATTACTTGTTTTATGTTATATTATATGCTTTGTTACTTGTTTCATTATTTTGTTTATCATGAATTTATCTATTTATTTATTATTCTATATCGAATTTTATTTGTATTTAAAAAAAAAATTAAAATATCCTAGCTCGCATACAGGCATTACAGTGCCTCAGCAAGTTACCAATGTTCATATTTAAATTAACTATGTAATTGTAATTTATATTTCTTTTTTTTTTTTGAATAAACATTATTATTATATGATGATTGGCAAATTTTAAATTCGTCTAAATTTAAAAAACCTTATTGATTCACAAAATTTGAAGAGTGAACGTTGGTTAACCCAGTGGATGGCGTAGTGTTGGTTGCAAATGACAATACCAGAAGAACTGAATGACCATTGGGTAGACAAGTTGAAGTTTACCAAGGAGAAGATAACATAAGTCAAATGGACAAAGTAAAAAGTGCCACTTGGTACATGATTTGACCATACCAATGACGACTCTGTCTACTAGAGATATCAGAAAGAGAAAAGATAGAGTGAAAAACAAAACAAAAGGAAAAGGAAAAAGTAATACGACAATGGTAAGCCTAATGAAGAAAAAAGATCTCGGTATGGAAGAATTCTAACACAACTGAACAGGATAGAAATTTGAATCCCGGAATGGAGGATGTTAGGAATAGTGTGTACGTAAGTTTTGTTAATGTAATTATCAAAAAAAAATATATGGTCAATCATTAAATAAAATATAATCCAAAAGCTCCAAACCACATTCTATTACTAAGAATATCTTCATTAATCTTTCTAAATGCAAAAATTACCATAGGTAAATATTGTAGGTATACATTTTAAAATAATAACATTTAACAATAATTATCACAACCTGAATTATATGAATCGAAATTTGAAATGGTTGAATCAGCTTGTATATCAGTAAAATCGTCGCTAGTTATTTATCTAAAACAGTTGTCTATGTCTTTATAAAAACAATGCCTCGGACAATGCTCAGTAGTGCCATGGGGTATATTTTGCCAAGTTCCTATTTGTTTATTTATCTGTCCGATATAAGCTTGTTTTATTGTTTTTAATGAGTTTTTATTTCATAAAGAAAGGTAGTCCGTAATATAATAATTATTCTTCTTTCTACCAGTAGAAGAGGGATCGTGACAATCCTGATGTAAAAATAATATTAATAATTGTTGGCCTTTATATTATTATTTACTCTTTATTATTTTTAGGTAACATGTAATAAAATAAAAATTAAAGTCCCTCAGAAAAACATTGATTATAAACTATGAATAACTATTAGGCACGACACGCGACGTTAGGATAAAAAAGAGGAGATAAATGATCACCCAAAGATTTGATATGCTTTTTAATTTTTTCTGACCATCTACTAGCCAGTTCAAGTAAACCTAATTAACTATGGGAAATCCCAGTTTAATTTAAAATCAACATAGTAGTAAAGTAATAACAAATAACATAAGTATTAAATTACATTTTCTCAGAGCGATAAATGTAATGAAATAAATAATGATATCTTACTTTCTGCAAAAACTTC